ATGGCTTTATATAGCTTCAAAATGAAACTACTAAAGGCATTCCAAGAGTTAGTAACATTCATAGTTAATGACCTTAATTAACCGTCTTGTAATTGTAACCTAAAGTAAATTAAAAATCTTAAAATACATTAATGAAATATAATAACTCTAAATTACTCTAAATTGTAATCCACCCAAAATCAAATTGTAATCCACCCAAAATTCAAAACATGAAACTTCTTTCTTTCTCCAACGTGACATGAATTGAAATATCCTTTGATAATTTCAACAATATTTTCTTCACATCTTTATTGAAGCATATTATATGATTGATGTGTCTTGGTTCATATCATTCTCCACTTCTTCAAGAGGATTCATCCTCGAATCTATTTGTGAAACTTTGTTACAAAAAATAAGTTATGGAAATACAAAGGACCTCTGATATCGACATAAATCATACAATATGCTTCAATACTTGCTAGGTTCCTTTCACGAAAATCCAAAGAGAATAATATCTGCTAGGGAAAGCCCAAAGATGACAATATTTGCTAGGGAAAGCCAAAAAGGACAATATCTGCTAGTGGTGGGATTGGGTTGTTACAAATGGTATTAGTGTCAGACACCAGGTAATGTGCCAGCGAGGACGCTGAGCCCCAAAGGGGTGGACATCGGGTGGCATGCCAACGAGGATGTTGGGCCTCGAAAAGGAGTGAATTGTGAGATCTCAAATTAATTGGAGAGAGGAATGAATGCCAACGAGGACGCTCGACCCTGAAGGGAGGTGGATTTGAGATCCCACATCAGTCAGAGAAAGGAACAAAACATTCTTTATAATAGTGTGAAAACTTCTCCCTAACAGACACGTTCTAAAAACTTTGAGAGAAAGTCCAAAAGAGAAAGCTCAAAGAGAACAATACAGGACAACATCAGCTAGCAGTAGACTTGGGCAGTTACAAAATAACTTTGTTAGTCGAATCTTTGTTCTTCGACATATGTTATCTCTAGAGAAAGAAAAGAGATAACTTATAAAATTTAGCAGTTGATGTTGACCTGACCTTAATAGAAAGGCTTCCAATACCTATCAGTTCATAGTGCAACGATCCAGCAACAGAGCTGCTCTTGAGAATTGCAGAATTGGTTCATTGTCCTGACACACTCTTCATCTGTTGAGAAGGCTTGATCTACAGCTAACCCTTTATATACACATACAAGAACGAGCATCGAGTCAGTAATAATATCATAACAATGCAGCAAAATTTAAGATTTGGCTGACATGAAAACATGTAACGACTACAAACTGATCTAAGTAAAACGTTGATTATTTGGGTGCTTGTGTTCATTTGGTGGCGCATTGCTGCAACTCATGCCCCAAAAGCTCAAAAGCCTGGACTCAGTTCTGTATACCATTGACAAAAAATTGGCCATAAAATTAATCATGATTATCCGGTGAACACTGAAAAGGACCATGGAGTACATGGAGTACATTTAGCAGGCAAATTATCAAGTATTTGGACAACAATATCATGAGCCTTTCTTGAATTATGGATGGTTAATACTGGCAAAATGAAGGATATTCAAAGTTCATCGGCCAAGCAAAGCAACACGATCCTTTTGCACTGCCTGCACGAGGTTGATATCAAAGAGCTCACACCGAATAGGCATCTCCATCTCATAGAATGGATTCTTCAAGACATAATCTGTGTATAACTCATAAATGTACTTCAGAAGACCCTCCATGTGCAGTGTCCCGGGCTCACACACAACAAAAAACTTTGTTCCTAAAACACCCAATTTCATCCATGATTCAGCTTCTTAATTAAGAACTACAAAATGAATATAACATGAAAGTTGATGTCGAGAGACTTTGAAAATATCAGACAGCACAATCATATCTGTGATGAAGACATTGTAATATGATTATAAAGAAGCTACATTTTTCTAAAACAAGATCAACATCATTCATTTTTACCCAACCAAATGGAATATAACTCAACTAATTAAGGCATTATAATCTCAACAAAGGTTAAGTTTGATACCCCATATATTGTTGGTCTCAAGACAAGAAAGATGCAACAGCCCAAACTCACAGTAGCAGATATTGTCCTTTTTGGGTTTTCCCTTACGGGCTTTCTCTCAAGGTTTTAAAACGCGTCTGCTAGGGAGAGGTTTCCACACCCTTATAAAAAAAAATGTTTCGTTCTCCTCTCCAATCGAGGTAGGATCTCACAATCCACCCCCTTGGGGGCCCAGCATCTTTGTTAGCACATCGCCCGGTGTATGGCTCTAATACCATTTGTAACAGCCCAAGTCCATCGCTAGTAGATATTGTCCTCTTTGAACTTTCCCTTTCGGGCTTCCCCTCAAGGTTTTAAAATGTGCCTGCTAGGAAGAGGTTTCCACACCCTTATAAGAAATGTTTTGTTCCCCTCTCCAACCGATGTAGGATCTCACAATCCGCCCCCATTGGGGGCCAACGCTTGCTAACACATCGCTCAATGTATAGCTCTAATACCATGTGTAACAGCCCAAGTCCACCGCTAGTAGATATTGTCCTCTTTGAACTTTCTCTTTCAGGCTTCCATTCTCAAGGTTTTAAAACGTGTCTGCTAGGGAGAGCTTTTCATACCCTTATAAGAAATATTTTGCCCGGTGTATGGCTCTGATACCATTTGTAACAGCCTAAGTCCACCGCTAGCCGATATTGTCCTCTTTGGGCTTTTCCTTTCGGGTTTCCCCTCAAGGTTTTAAAAAGCGTCTGCTAGGGAGAGATTTTTACACCCTTATAAGAAATGTATTGTTCCTCTCTCCAACCGATATAAGATCTCACAAAAGATCAATCACACTTCTAGAACTTCAATTGTGCTTTCACATTAGGAATTTGATTGCATGTCTATGAAACAGAATTTGAGACAGAATCCATGCGTTTGAAGCACAAATTAAACAAAGTAGTGGAAGAAAAAAAATGTACCAGTAAGTGACTGGAAGCAATGGAGGTCGAATGTGTCGGCTTCAAGGAGTTCAGTACCCGAACAACCGGAAATAGGCGAAAGCTGCTGGGAAATGGCATGCATCGAATGCCATAAACTCGCCACTCTTAAGCTATCGTTTGTGTCCATTCGTCCAGCAGACCCATAATCCTAAATTTTCAAACAAACTCAATAACAGATTCAATCCACATAAAATACTCAATGAAGATTAAAATAATTCCACTGATAACCGGTCTATAATTCATAAGTAAAAGAAACTGGAAGCATGATTTGGGGTTCGTATTTGTTTTTCGTTTCAGATACCAAATTAAGCATCAAAACTCCAAATCCAGAGGGGAATTAGCAGAAAATTAGTTTATAATTGCATTATGTTGATTACCTTGTAGAAGATCAAGCCACCAGATTTGTTGATGATGTAGAGGCTGTAAATTGCTGCCATCCTCTTCAGATATTTCCGGGTTGAAGCTTCTGAAGTCTTAACGAAAGAAATGGAATGAATGTGATTGTGAGTGTGGGGAAGAACGTAGATTCAAAGGCTCAAAATCCAGACCCAGTTTCAATGACGCCGAACTTAAGCGAGTGGGTGAGTTTTGGGAGCTACCCAAAATTAATGATTAAACTAATTTTTGTTATAAATTTTACAAATCAAGCTTAAAAAAAAAATTAATACATAATTTCACATTCGTATAAGATGTTTTTAAAATTAAGTTTAGAGAGAATATGAATATCAATTTGATTGTTTTTTTTTTTTTTTGGGGTTAAATTTGAGTTCTTTTAAGTGATTAATTATTTAACTAATTTTGAGCTGATTTTAAAATAATATTTTTTTAGAGGATATGTTTGTGCTAGTTTGCAATTTGTCTCCAACAAATCAAGTCTAAAGTATTTTGCAATTTGTCTCCAACAAAATCAAGTCTAAAGTATTTTGCAATTTGTCTCCAACAAAATCAAGTCTAAAGTATCCGGTCTAAAGTGGGATAGTCTATAGTATGCCATGCTATTGTAGCCGGTCTATAATTGGAATCGTCATATGTCGAAATTTATTTATTTATGTTGCTTTTGTTAATATTCATTTTTTATTAAAAAAGTTATTTTTGTTCTCTTTTATGGATGTTCATATGATTTATCCGACAAACTTGACTAGTTGAACTGAGTCAGTCCAACTTCTCTTCTTTTTCCTCTTTTTTTTTTTATGGGTGTTCATATGAATTGAGATTTCAAACTAACTCAAACTATTGAATTCAAATCATGGGTTCAATTGAACTTTTAGAATATCAAAAATTTCTAGTGGATATGCGATATGACATATTTTTTGGGTCGGATTAACCCAATTAACTTGAAAATAGCATTACAATTTAACCCGACCATACTTCTAAAATTATTATAAAGATTAAGAATATTTAACATTTGAGACAAAGGTTAATAACCCATGTGAATACTTGAGTTTGATTTGATTTTAGTACACCCAACCAATCTAGAAAATTAATAATCCAACTGTTAAATGTACAAGCTCGACATCCAATTTATGCAGCTTGTTTGTGTGTGTACATGTAGCCACAGTGTAGAAAGTTCCTCCTCATATAGCTAGGAAAAACTACAGATACAGAGAAACAACCATATCAACGTGTTGATGGCCTAATACAACCATATCAATGTGCGGATGGCTTAATAATCAAATCAGCACAAGACCGTCTATAAGCACGTAATCTTACAGGTATTGTGTGCTGAAACAAGATAAATCATTAACCACATGAACAGTAACAACTACACAGCTACAAATGAAAGCTATTCTTAAAATGTCACAAAAAAAAAAAAAAAAGAATGTAACCGTCTAAACTCACCTCTATCGTTAGCATATATTATCCTCTTTTGATTTTCACTTTCAGACTTCCTCTCAAGGATTTAAAAATAAGAAGAGATTTCCACATCTTTATAAAATAAATGTTTTGTTCCCCTCTCCAACTGATCTGGAATCTCACAATCCACCTCAAACCACCCCTCTTTGAGGCTAGCGTGCATCCTTGCAGCTTGAACAACAAGGGATAGTTCCATTACTAAATATTATTAAAAACAGACCACCAAACTACAAATACACGGTATAGTTAAGGCAGGAACATGCATATGCATTGGTTTTGATCACTCCATGGCTCTAGAGAGAACAACGCAGTAAACGAAAATTTTTGTAGAGTTCTTTTTTTCTTTCTTTTTTTTTTATGTAGAGCTCTTAACGAAAAAAGTAGTACAAATCAACTGGGAATTATTATTATTGCTAATGGCCAAATGTAGGATTTTCCCGAATTGAGTCGGATTTCCTAATTCTTCCTCCCTTCACACAAGATGATATGGTACCCATGCCTGCATTACACCAAACCAAAGCACAAATGTGAGTTCTGCAGTGTATTCATAGCTCATCCACAGCACCAGGAGAATCTTGACTTTGCAAAAAGAATCCAAACACATCTTATTATATCAAGAGTCACTCTAATTAATCCAAACCTTAACCCAGACTAACATATAAAGGATGAATTTTCAGTATTAAGCAAAAATAGAAGTACATGGTCATAAAGGAAAAATTCAGAATAGAAAACCCAATGGAAACAATCAATTACAATAAAAGAAATTGGAGAAAGGACATACGTTGACTTGAATGGTGCACTGGTTGCTCCAATTAAAGTGCTGAATGCAACGTCTTGAAATGGGCCGGCCATTTTTCCACGAGGAAACCATCCCAGGTCCCCACCTTTTTTCCCTGATGGACACTCCGAGTATTCTGCTGCTAACTGAGACACCAACCAGATTGTTATAACGTGTTGTTATCAGTTGGAAATATACCTAAAGAAACCCCTAATTTCCATCAGAAAGAAAGGTACCTTTGTTCGGACAATGTGGAAATATTAATCTTTGCGATGAAATATAGATGAGTATGAAAACAACTAACTAATAGAACCCAACTTTATTGATATGAAAGATAAAAGAAATTACAATATCAGTCTCCAAGTATTCAAGGTACTTGGAACCGCCCGTCCCTCTTGAGAGATCCTTCAAGACCTAATCTAAGAGAATGGACGACTTCACAACCAAGCAGATGAGCCCAGCCCTCCACTTCCGAGCATTGAAATTATTCCTAAGACTCGACACTTTTCTTTGTAGATGATAAAACTGAGATCTCTTCAGACATAATGAACACTTTAACCATTGTCTGACATATCTTCTCTATAAGAAAACCTTGTATGACATTCTAATCTTGGAATAAGATATATAATGTAATCACAAACAAAGTTTGTATCAAAGTAGGAGGTCATACGTTCAAACTCTTCTAGTCTTAGTTCTCCAAATCATCTTGTTTCTCACAGAGTCAGTCAAGGAAGTAAGTTACAGGAAGGACGACTTCAGTCAAGTAAAATGAGACTCAAGTCCACACATGAGAGGGAGTGTTAACAAAGATTAAGTTTACTCAAATCTACCCATTCAAACCTTTGAGTTTACCAGTAATTAAAACCCACGAAAAAAGAAAGAAAAACAAACAAAACTCAATCATACCTCCAAATTCATCTCTATTAACACCCACTAGCAATGTAAACAACCAAAATAAAGGAAAACACATCACCTTGCCTCAAACTCTACCCTGTCATTTGTTTGGTGGGAAGCTAAAAATCTCTTAGTATAAGTATCTAGATTCTTGCATTTGTTTGACATGAATGTAGTGTACCTAAACAACTTAGGATGACCATTTGTTTGACTTTTGATGTCGTCTTGAATTCTATTTCTTTTTTTCTTTTTTCTTTTTTTCTTTTTTTCCTTTTTTCTTTCGATAGGCAACATAAAAGATGAGATAAAATTAAAAACGGGAGTTCCTATCAATGGATTACAAAAAAACTTCTCCAATTTGTCATAAGATTAGAAAGACCATAATACCAAAAAAGGGACTCGACTCACACCAAGTGAGAAATAAAAATGTAGTAGAAACGAGGACAACTAAAAATACGAGAGTTCCGCTTATGCGAAGTAGTCCAGTGTCATGGTCAATTCATGAATTTCAAAGATTCCAATGTCTAGGGAATCTTCTCATGACAATTTTGTTTTCACTCTTTTATATATATGTTCTTTCACCATTTTTCTTTATTTGTGCTTTTTTCTGGTATATTTAAAACAAATCAACACGTTTTTCAACAAAATCGAAAAAATAAATCAAAGTATTTATTCGCTTGCAAGGATTATTTGCAATTATCTCTATTCATTAACTATATTTATATATCTGTACATTTAAAATAGAAAACCATTACGAAAGACAATGGTTCGATCCTCCACCTCCACGAGTATTTAGCTTAAAAGAAAACTTTAAGAAAAAATAAACGGCAGTTGCCTTAAACAACGGAGATTGCTCTAGTAGTAGAAGTGGACTAATAATTGAAAAAAAGTATTTGGCTACAGGAGATTATGCTTGTTTGAACTTTAACCATATAAGCTAAGGACTTCGGTAAACCGATTGAATACTAAGTTAGTTCCTTGGTTTGTCCAACCATTTACACAGCTCAAATCAAATCAGGTAAATATAGGTTACTATGGAATAATAACAACACTTCTCAATGACAACAGCCCTATCCCTATATAATTTCTCATCCAAACCCATGAAAAGACTCTGCTTCAACACAAACTGACCTCAACCACCCATGACACCATTCATACACCTAAACACAAGAAAATAAAAGGGATATACATATTCTCGGTCTCTCTATCAAAGTGTTTGAATGTATCCCATAAATGTCTTGATAATCTTATGTGTACAAGTGATACACCATCTGAGCATTAAATTATAAGAAACAAGACCTATCTTGGAAAGCCAATTTACTAGAGAGGGATAAAACATTCAGCCCTTGGAATAAAATTCAGTTGCCTAGCACATAGAATTCAATAAAAAGGATTGCTTCAATTGCTACTTTGTCCCTCCTCACGAGCATCTTAACCAGCTTACAAAGTACAAAATCTTAATTAATTACATAGTACTGTAGGCTAAATCAAAAACCTTTGAAGTTTAAAAGGCAATCTTAAGATATTAATATTCCAAGTAACCCCATCAGTGACTTTGAGACCTAATATGCAATAAGGTAACAAAATATCGTTTAGACCATTAGTAAATTCATAGTGGTTATCTCCTGCATTTACCATTTCACCACATTTAAAAAAAGAAGACGAATGTAATAATCTTTCCTCTTTGAAACTGTTAGGAATCACGGATCTCCACAATTGTACAATATTGTCCACTTTGAGCATAAGCTCTCATGGACTTGCTTTGGGCTTCCCCAAAAACCTCATCCCAATGGAGATGTATTCCTTACTTATAAATCTATGATCATTCCTAAATTAGCGAATGTGGGACTCCCTCCCAACAATCCTCAACAGAAACTACGGAAGGGTTGAGGAAAACAAATTTAATTGACCTAGAGTACCAATTCACCCCTTTTAACATTAGAATATCCAGACACAAAAAGGCACAAGCTGAGTGACATGTGTATTGAGTTAAGCGAAAGGATATAATATCAAGCATCTGTAACTAAATACTCAATTCCGTTTTTCTTTAACAGAACTGCAAATGATCGACAAATCGACGAGGCCAAAAATAAGAAGAAGAAAAAGACATCCAACCTTAGCAAACTCAGCAGGAGGAACCTTGTCCCCATTGCTAAGCCAACCGTCCTGCAACTTCTTGTACGCTTCATTGATTTTACCCTGCTTCTCGCACAGTATATGCCTTGCTAAACAACAAATTGAAGGAAAACAAAATAAGAATCGTCGACCGAAATCCTTAAACCTCCAGAGATTGAGCGTAAACGCAATTTCTACCCCTGCAAATAGGATTGAAGAAAGGGAAATAGAAAAGAGAGAGAGAAAGAGAGAAACCTTTGACATAAGTGCAAGTTCCAAGGCCATCGGAAGCAGCTTTTCCGGATTTTCCCTTCCCTTTGGAAGCACTTTCATCGGCTCCGGAAGCTGCTTGCTTCGCCTTCCCCTTCCCTTTACCACCCGCGTCCTTTGCCTTCGAATCTTTCCCCATGACCTACACAGTGGATTCAATTGCAGAGAAATTCCAAGTGATATCGATTATCACGCAACTCATAAATCTAGTATATATCCAAGAAAGAATCTTCGACGGAATAGAATAAGATTAATCGACCTACACTTCGGGGTTTGCACCTGGGAGGTTTTTAGGGTTTAAAACAAGATTAATCGAGAGTCTAAATGGATTTAGTTTACTATTTTAATTGATTTAATTATTAATTTACAGTTGTAATTTATTTATCTTCTATTCCAAAGTTTTAACGGTGTCATCAAAATAAACCATTGAATTGAAAAAACTGAGTAATTCAACTAAATGTCCTTCATTTAAGAATATGTCGGAAAAAAAAATTAAACTAATAAAAATATGTAATATTGAGTAGATTTTTAAAACTGCCCTAAAACATGAACGAACAACGTTGATGAGACTCGATGAAGAACGATTCGAAAATTGGACGAGAGCGAAAAAAAAAGTTTGGGCATTAGGTTAATAATCTTACGTGTTCAAATCATCAAATTTGAACATTCCTGTTGAAAAATATTAACAGTGTTTCAGATTTTTTTTTTTTAATTACATAAAAATTGAACATTCCATCCTTGGAAAACTATTGTCAGTGATCTAGGTTTTCACAGAGTGCTCTAAATGGCCATATTTAGGCTTTCAAATTAGGGTTTCAATTTTAAGTTCGTGTACTCGTAACTATAGCTTTTTTTTTCCTTTGATATCAAAGTCCTAGAATTGTTTTGTATGTAAATATTAAGATATTAGAAAATGAAAGTAACTTTTCATAACTTCCTTACTGTAGATGGAAAACTCGAAGATGGTACTCTAACGGAAAGCAAACCAACAATACCATTTTTCGGAGTTGTTTATTAATAATATGTGTCAAAACCATCAAATTTGAACATTACTCACAATAATGTAGAAAAAAATTAATAGTAACTTACTTTTTTTTCTCTCCATGCTCTCCGTGACTCAACTAGGGTTTCTAAATTTGGCTTTATGTTTTAAGCTCATATATAGGACCTTTAGGCTTTTTTGCTTCAAATCTAATGCTATTTCTTACTTCCTATGAAAATTTTAAGATAATACAAAAAGAGAGTAGCTTTTCAGAGCTACTGTAAAACACGAATAAAAAATCGTCGATGGTATCCGACAGAAAATGAACTGAAAATTTGTTAAGTGCGAAACAATTTTTTAGTGTTGGCTACTAATCATACGGGTCAAAGCAATCAAATTTAAACATTCCTCACAATAAAGTTTTGACCATAACTTTTTTTTAGTGAGGGCTCAAGTTAGCCTAATTAGGACTTAATTTTAAGCTCATGCATGCAGGGATAGGCTATTTTTCTTCAAAATTCAAGACCGTGTGTTGCTTCCTATGAAAATTTTAAGATATTAAAAAGAGAGTAGTTTTTCGAAAATGTCCGAAAACACGAACAAAAAGTCACGGATGGTACACCGACAAAAAAGCAAACAAAAAATTGGTCGAGAGTGAAACAACTTTTTGTTGTAGGCTACTGATCATACGTGTCAAAACCATCAAAATTGAACATTCCTCGCAATAATGTTAAAACCATTATTTGTTTTTTTAGTATTCTAAATAACCCAATCAGGGTTTTAGTTTAAATCTCATATTATAGGTTTTTTTTTTCTTTCGTTCTTAGAAATCTAAGTCTTACTGATGTTTCTGAGGAAATATTAAGATATTTTAAGGAGAGAGCAGTCTTTCAAAACTACCTTAAAAGTACGAACAAAAAGTTAGCAAAAGTACCCAATAGAAAATCATCGGAAAATTGGCAAAGAGCAAAACTTATTTTATGTTTTGGCTAATCATCATACATGTCAAAACCACCAAAATTGAACATTCCTCGCAACAATGTTAAAAAATATTGAACATAACTATGTTTTTTCACCGAATGCTCTAAATTGCCCAAGTTGGGTTCCCGACTTCGGGGTTTGATTTTAAGCTCATAAACGCCGTTATAGGCTCTTTTTCTTAAAAAATATAAGTCCTAGTACTTTTTCATATGAAAATATTAAGATATTAGAAAAAAAGTAGTCGGTACCTTGAAAGAAACAAAAACTAGTCGGTACCTTGAAAGACAATGAACCTAAAATATGTCAACAATGAAACCATTTTTGGTGTTGACCAGTGATCATACGTGTCAAGACCATCAAATTTGATCATTCCTCACAATAATGTGAAAAAATATTTGATCATACGTGTCAAAACTCTAAATTGCACAATTTAGGTTTCCAAATTCGGAATTTGGCTTTATGCTCATATATTGTCACAACCCAATTTTTACGAGTTGTGACTAGTTAAAAACTTGAAAAATAGATGGTATAATTTTTTACCGTTTAAAATAACATATAAATATATTTTATTTACAAATTCAAAATAAAGTTATAATATAATGGGCATAAACAACTTAAAACAAAAAAAAAAAACAAAAGAAGAAGAAGAAGAAGAAGAAGAAAACGGTGTGGATCGGTAATGCACTTGATCCAGATCTGCTTCCATCCTCGACCAGCTTCTTCTTGTCAAGTGAAAAACATGGGAGAATGAGCATGAGTACAAAAACTAAGTAGTCTACTTGTAGGCTTTTAATCGTGTCCTTAAGGTATGCTAGGGTACCACACTCTTTCTTGTCATGTTTTTGTTTTTGTCCTAAGAACTTAGATCTCTAAGTTTTATACTTTGAGTTCTGAGTTCTTGTTATAATCTTGCCCAATGACCTTGGACCTTAGTGATGAGGTTCTAGATTTTTAGTTCCGAGAACTTGATCTTGATCCATATTCTAGTCCTTGACATTGATTTTGTGTCTTGGTTCTTGTTCTTGTTTCTCTTTTAGTTCCCTATGACACTCCCCTAGGATTTACGGTACAAGACATGAACTTGACGACCTATTTCCAAGACTTGATGTGTTTTAAGTCACACAATTTTAACCTACGTCCAAGACTTCATGTGTTTCAAACAACGTAGTTTAATCCTACATCTAAGGCTTCCTGTGTTCCTTACGATTCAGTTTGAAATCTACACTCAAAGCTTCTTACTTTCTAAGCGATGTAGTCTAAGACCTATGTCCAGATTTCATAAGTTCCAAGCGACATAGTCTGAAAATTTTTGTCCAATACTTCATATGTCCCAAACGACATAGTCTAAATACCTATGCTAAGGCTTCATACATTTCAAGTTATGTAGTCTGAAACTTGCATCCAAGGCTTCTGATAAGGAATCACTACTAAGGAAGTAAGATTCAGATTACCTTGTTGATCGAATATCATAAAATAAGCAAACTTGTTTGAGATTCAAATCACTCCACAAGCAAGATCGATCATGTCAAACTTGAATGATTCTGAACATGCAATCTAAATTACACAAAATTGCAAAGAAACTTAGCCATTGGCTAAAGGAAAGGTAAGAATACTTAACCCTAATGATAACTCAGAGGGAAAGTAAAATTTGAATTACCTTGTTAATTAAATATCTCAAGGCAAGAACACTAAAAGATTTTATCGTACGTGGGCTGTGTGTGGGGAAGTATCGCACATCCAACCCTGCCCGGAACTTGAAAGAACTTAAGGTCATGTTACAATTTTAAAGGATAAGTCTCAATCATGTCATGTGTGTAATTGCATTACTAACCCCAACAATGGGTGACTTGCCAAGTATTTCTTAAAATACTCAAATCATGTAATACTCTAAAGCCGTAATATGCATGTTTTCATTGAGTAGTTAATAGAAAAAAATAAAAAATCTTTTCAAAATTAACAATAAATTAATAAATAGAAGATACTAAAATTAGGATTTAACGGACATTAAAAAATTAAATGTTCAAAATAAGACCAAAATAATATTTGAAGTGGAGATAATATAAATCAAATCTGTAAGCTTCCCAGTCCATCTTCTTGGTGTTAGGGTTTCTTATATAACTCGCCAATCCTTATTGACGAGCTCCAGTTCGTTGGGTTCGAGTATCGTATCTCTCGACCCAGAATCAATTAATCTTCGATCATTATTCCTTCGTTTGGTAATCTTGATGCCACTTTTCAATTTTCGATCTCTTATAATGTCATGGTGCTGTCAATTTCGGTGTGACGATGGCTTAATCCTTCAAACGAGAATTTCTAATTTATAGCTTCTTGGATTTTCACCTTAGGGTTCCTCCGTTGTTGCTGAACGTGATAGAATATGTACTCGTCTAAAGGCAGTGGTAAATACGGACAGCAGTCATCATATGCTGCGCAGACTGGATATGGCCAAAATGTACGCTCTCCGCTTTCTTTTCCACTTCTGCATGTCTTTCAAACCTTAATCATGGATTTGATCGTCGATTTTTGATCGATTGATCGTTTTCCTTTTTATATTCAAATTCTGCATGTCTTGGCATTTTATTTTGACACCCCAATCGTCAACTTTTGATGTTGTGATACGCTCTACGAGTTACCATGTCGTGGTTACAATTTTATACAGGACGTGTGTTATGTGATATTTCTAGTTCTCTCATGCGCTGAAAACCTGTTTTGGTTTGTGTTTAGCAAACGCCGTTGACTCGATAACGTTTCTCCATATTCTATTTTCAGTAGCGGATAGCTTTACCCATTATTTTGACAGTCTATTTTCTTTGTATAAATCTAGCATTGATGAATACCATGTTATGGGGTTTTCCATTCCTTTTATTTCAACATTCAATAGTTTATGTCTGTTTTCAGGGATATTTAAGTATAATAAGTATTAAAATAGGAAATGATTTTTGTCAACATGATCAGAGTATACTCCTCCCCTTGAGTTTAGAGATTCAAGTCTCCACACTCTACATTTGTTGACCGAAAAAATAGGAAATGATTATTCCTCCTTTTTCTTTTTTTGTGGATTTGTAAACTTTTATTTCTACTTCCGTCCTTGTTCTCATATTATGACAATTTTCTGGTGCTTTTGTAGTTGGGTACTGTCTACCCTGGGAATTCTGTTGGGGGACCTGACTCGCAACAGCACTCCATGGCCTCTAGGCACTCCTCAATGTTGGGAGCTTCACAGGAAGCTGATACTGCATATAGGTCACATCCATCAAGCACCACTCATTATGGAGGGCAGTATAGTTCTGTGTACAGCTCAGTTGCATTGAGTAGCAAACCACAGGTTGGGTTCT